TCCCTGGGAATGGTGGGTGGGTTTGGTTCTCTCCCTGAACCTGCTCCAAGTGCATTAAAATCAGGGATAAAATCGGGGATAGAATCAGGATCCCCAAGGAATGTTGAACTTGGATGGAGGAATATTTTAAAACTGCTTTTCCCTCTCTTTTTCAGGGAGAAGCTGGGGAACCAGGAGTGAGAGGAATCAGGGTAATAATTATTGTAACTGTTATAAAAAATATTATGATTGTTATAAAAATTATTAGAATTATTATAGAAATTATTATAAAAATAATTATTATTCTAAAACTATAATTATGACTAAATATAATTATTGTAAAATTTATTATAATTATTATAAAATTTACAATTGTTATAAAAATATAATTATGGTAAAATATAATTATTATGAAATTATTATGATGATAATAAAATTATTACAATGGTTATAAAATTATTATAATTATTAAAATAATTGTACAATAGTAATTATTATAAAAAATTAATTATGATAAAATATAATTAATATAGATTTATTATAATTATTTTGTGGTTATGATAAAATCATTGTAATTGTTATAAAATTATTATTAAAGTTATTATAAAAATAGTAATTGTTATAAAATTATAATTATGATAAAATATAATTTTAATAAAAACTATTATAATTATTATAACAATTATTGTAATTGTTATAAAATTTTTATTTAAATTATTATAAAAATAATAATGTTATAAAATTATAACTATGAGAAAATATAATCATTATGAAATTATTATAATTATTATAAAAATATTATGATTTTTCTAAAATTATTATAATAATTATGAAAACAATTATAAAATTATTATTATAAAAGTATACTTGTAATAAAATATAATTATTATGAAATTATTGTAATTATTATAAAATATGGATTATTATAAAATTATAATTCTTATTAAAATACAATTTTCTCGAGATTGTTATAATTATTAAAATTATTATTAAAATAATAATTTTTATAAAATTATAATTCTGCTAAAAAGATAATTATTATGAAATTGTTATAATTATTATAAAAATTATAATAATAATAATTATGAATTTATAATAATTATCAAAATCATAATTATTATAAGAATTAAAAGTTATTATAATTAGTATTTTAATTATAAAAAACTGAGCACCAGGGGAGGCTCAACTTCTGTCCAGGAGAGGATTTTCCTTCTCCATCCCACTTGGGAATCCCCACTTGGGAACATCCCGGGGCAAGTATTCCTCCCCTGGGTTAAAAAAATGACATTTTTCTCCTTTCCTTCCCTGATTTTTGATTTTTCTGCCCAGGTTTTATTCCTGATTTTTTTTCTCTCTGTTTCTGCCCTTGCAGGGCCCTCCTGGAATCCCAGGACGACCCGGAGAACGAGGAATGAAAGGAGACACGGGACAACCTGGAAAGGATGTAAGGAATTCCCTGTGGGAATTTCCACAGGATGGGCTTGGGGCAATTCCAAAAAAAAAATTGGATTTTATTTCCTGCCTTGAAGTTTGCAGGGTGTGGAAAAAAAACCCCCATCCTCCTCTCCTGTGGAGCGGGAT